ACACACACAGACTCACACACACACAGACTCACACCCACACACAGACTTACACACACACAGGCTCACACCCACACAACAACAACCGCCATACGCCACTAAGTGGCGGTGACGTCAACACGACGCTTGTGCCAGGCCATGTGCACCTTGAGGCCACGTGAAGTGTCGAACGCCCGCTGGCAGGAGGTCACGGGGCAGACCCAAGTGCCACACACACACAGGCTCACACACACACAGGATCACACACATGATCACACACACACACAGGACCACACACAGGCTCACACACACACAGGATCACACACACACACAGGATCACACACAAAGATAACAAAGACAAAGATCCCCCGTGTAGCCTGTAACAGACTGTAGGGGCAAGTGCTGTTAGGGAGCACCTATGAAGGCCAGAACGGTACACGAGGGGGTGGGTGGCCAGCACCACGCCCGACCGCCTTTGTCTCCCTAGTGGCAATGTTTACACACCGCACCAGGTACTCATTTGAGGCTGAGTCGACCTAGGGGAGGCCCAGGACCGGTTCAGATAATCGTCACTGGTGTTGGCCCTGAGTGGGAACGTGTACTTCCACACACTCACACTGGCTCTGACAGCACAGGGCACTGGACACAGTGCCAGTGGAAATTGCACCCAAGTCCTAGAATTGAATCTTCGTTGGTCACATCATGATGATGACGGAGAGGAATGTGAATCTTTAAAGAGGGATTTCGTGCCCCTAAAGAAAGTGCCACCTGTTTGCGAAATGCTTAAGTTAAAGATGGCAATTGTGTTCGGGGGTGTGGGTGGAAATCCTCTTTGACGCGTGATTCTTTTTGTACGCAGTGTTGCTGAGCGAATACGACGGACGATTGAAACTGACCATTTTTTTGACAAGATGTACTCCACAGTACTGCACTGTTATTGATTTGATGTTTGCATTGTATGCCGTACAAATTACTGCACGTGCTGAACATTGGTTGGAAGAATAACGTTCAGCAGACCAAAAGACTGGGAATTAAACGATGAAGTTTTGCTGTTTTTTTAGAAATCTGGTTTTGTTACCACTGTATAATATGTACTACATTATAAATACATCTACATGGATCATTCCTATTTACACTTACTGTATGCCCTGCATAATGTATCGTCAAGTATGATGTGCATCTTTTTTATACTGTGGTACGTATTCCACATCCTGACACAATTGTCCGAGATAAACTCACCCCATCATTCCTCCGTTTTTTATATAAAAAAAAATGTTTTCATTACTCTGCTGTACTTTATCGGGAAGTCGACAGTGATTGTATTACTGTACAGATAGACTGGACCCCGCCATGGGAAAGTGGAAATGTATACAAGTGGCTCAGAGCAGTCAATTGAGATGAGCATCAACCTCCCCTCTGCTTGTTTGAGCAGCAAGACACTCTGTCTTTATTAGCTTTACATTTGTATTCAAGTTAAATCTTGCCCCTTTCTAATTTGACTATGGCGGGAAGAAAAATGTGTCTAGTAGAGTGAAATCTGAGCTTTTCAAGACACAGTAATTGTGAAATGCTCTGCTGATGCATGTTAATGAGTCATAATTCGTGATTCATCCCCTCCCCCTAATTGGCATTAATTAACAAAAAAAACTATTATCAAAGTAATCCAGTACTGAGACATGTTTAGTGTCATGAAACTATGTTTTAATTTCTAACAGAAAAAAATATATTTACATGTGTCATTGGGGGTGCTGGAGGATCATGCACACTTGTTCGAATGTATGACCCTGAGTATAAAACAAAGTGGTGAAGGTTGTGAAGATGAAATATTTGAAATGTCATGAGAAAGTGAAAAGCAAATACTATTTTAAGAATAGTGGTGCAGTTTGCTGGTACATAGTTAATGTTAAGCTGAGCAGTCAAGCCTACAGGATGCTCATTGAAGCAGTTGTTTGCATAGTATTCAGTGATTGCCATTATAATTTCTATTTTAGAACCTGTATTCCATAATTGTCTGACCAAATGGTGCTGTGGTTAGAAGGCTGTATTCGCAATACTGCGAGTTCAAATCCTTCTTGGGGATTGACTCAGCTTATTATTGCTCTCGAGATTGAAAAAAAAAATCAGGTTTTTGTCAGAAGTTAACATTGTTCATTCTTAGTCGAGAGTGGTCTCTGATAAATGAATACGGAATTTCTATTGTACTGGCTCAGGGTCCCCTATGGACATGAGTACCATCCAATGGCTTATATGAACAGGGATAAAGTTTTAGCCCATTCAATATTCAAAACCAAAACATTCGTAGCTCCAAAAATACACTGAGGCATTCTCTGTTTTAATCACGTCTATGACAACACGTATTTGATTGCGAATGAAATCTGCAAGTTATTAAACACAATTGCTTTTGGACCTTGATGAACTTGCAAAAGTATTCTTGCGAGTGATGTCACAGAAACGTCACTCACAGCAGATGGTGTGCTCATGGTAACTTGATGATAGGCCAGACCCAAAAAAAACCTGGATAATTTGGAAATCGAATGGTCTGTAAACTGGCTGAGTGGCTACTGCATTGTCTTAATACAAACTGGCTACAATATTACTTGCTGGTACACACGCTGCAGCAGATACTCTTGGCTTGGTCATAAGAATGTGAAGGGTTGCACATTTGCACCAATAAACGATTTACGCATAGTCATTATGGAAAGGCAGGGAATTTGGTGTGGCCACATTGTAGATGTTTACACAACCATTACAGTGCGTGGTTGGTTTAATGACAAACATACAGTTATGCCTACAAGCGAATGCAATAACCACATGTGGTGGATCTGCAAGTTTTGGTTATACAACTTGTGTATATGCAGTTCTTAACTTATGCAAAAGCGATTGTCCACTTGACAGCCCTTTGTCCAGTCATTCTTCTATACTCGGTTGGTCCCTGTCATAGGAAGGTGGGATTTCCACAACAAGTTCAGGGTGACACTGACCCAATGCTCATTTGAACAGGGGAGACACTTTGACTGTTGCTGTGTACCATATATGAATGCATAAATAACGTGCTTAATTATGGCCTCAGTAATTTTACCCCTGCCAGAATATTATTAACATGATTCAAAATTATATTTGAACGCTATGACCATTAACCAGACAATTATATTAACATTAAATTGCAAGATTATTTTACCCGTTAACTGTTATACCCAATAAATTATTACAACATTTTAAAATTAGACATTTTAATAAGTCTATTTTGAATAACTAACAGTCAATGATGTTCACTATCACTTTTTCAAGAAAGCCGTTGGTAACCTTCGTAACATGTTATCTTTTAGAAATAAAAATGTACAGTCCTTCGGCAATCCACAGCTGGATGACAGCCTCTTCAGGCCGTAACAATCATAAGAGATTGTTTGACCATAGTTGCCCATACTGTTCAGTGTGACGTGATGAAGGAGTAGACGTGCCCAGGACCCATTCACGTATCACTCACCACTGATGTTAGCTTGCACAGTGGCATTCGTTAATGCGACACTTCTCTCCAATTATAGAATCTCAGGATTTCATAGTCGATTGTACGAGGTTCGCAGAGCTAGGTAGAATAGTGTCCTGCTGGATGACAAGTCAGTTTTATAAGAACAACAACTGGAAAACGGGAGGTGTAGATTGTTGCCGTTGGAGCATTGAGCTGCCACTGAAGAAACAGTTGTGATGAAGACAACTATTACCTTTTTTTACTTAACTTTCGTGACTGCAGGAATTCATAATCTTAGTTGTTTCGGTAAAGTCACGTAGATAGAAAATAAAAATACAATTTTAAAATAAATAACAAATAAAAGCTTTAATTTTTAATTTATCTAAAAGCTTTTATGTTTTATTTTTTTTCTTTTATTTTTAATTTCCATCTACGTGACTTTACCGAAAGAACCAAGAATACAACTATTACCTTATGTAGAGGCACCATTCATCCTTGTGTCAACTACAAATATTCTGCAGCAGCAGACTCATCATTTTGGCCTGTGTCCTGTGCAAGGACCCACAGTGCCCATCTGGCTGGCCACCTGTCCACGCCACCACTCTGTGTGATATTTTGATTGTATTCACCCCCATATGCACTCCCTCCCATCTTGCAGAGTTGGATGAACAATGGATAAACGAGTTAGAATAGGGAGTGATTGGATGGACTCTGCTTGGTTCACTCGTTAAATTATTAAATGCTAGCGAGAGAGACCCTTATGAACAACTAGCTTTACTACCCGGCTTCGCCCCCCCAAAAAATACAAAAGTATATTTTTATACTTTTTGCATTGTGTACAGACTGGAAGCTACCAAATTTCAAGTTTGTTGCATGTCGGGAAGTATGTTAAACATTTAGAACGGACACACATTCACAAATTTCCCTTTTATATATATAGATTAAAGAAAATAAGTCAAAGTATCTAGCAGCTCAGACGTGCAGTCATCTCTATTATCCGGGTTCAAGTCATTAGCAGAAATGTATGTTAAAGCGATTGTGTAGGGGTTATTTCTCTATAGGATGATCACTGTTGACCTCTCACAAGGTGATTCTGATGATGCTGAGTACCTCCTTATATAATGAACTACCACCTTTTCAATCATCCACCGAGATAACAACTAACAATCCTACAATTGTGGGTTGAGTGTTCTAACACACAGCCATTACCTCGCCAGATTATAAAGTAACAGTGGTTTTCCTTTTGATGGATTGGATCCCATAATAGGAACGTGGAATTTCCACCACAAAATGCAAATAAAGACAATAGTGGAGTGCTCGTGTCGTGGTTTATGCACCACACTATGAACCCGATGACGTGAGTTTGATTCCCGGTATTGGTTAACATCAGTGGTTTAATGAAATTCTAGTGAGAGACACTTATAAACAGATGAAAAATAAGTCTAAGCACATCGCAGCTTAGATGAGCATCAGGAAGTGCTCATCTTTGTTGATGGCTTCAAGCCATTGGCGGAAATTGATTTCTGAACTGGCCCTGAGCCCCCCCCCCCTCCATAATTAACCCTCGCTGACCTGCATGGTGAAGTATGGTAAAATAATCCCAGTGACTGACATGGCATGTCGAGAACTTCTTTTAACAGGTGAATGACAAAGGGCTGAAAATTATTAAATATCATTTTATTATGAAGGCAATGCTTTTTTTTAACCTTGTCGTGTGTTTGCATTTCTGTGCAGGGGAAGAAGATTATGGGATGGATTATCTTCGCATAGAGGATTATCACTGCTCCGCAAGCAAAATAGAGCATTGTGGGACCGATGATGTAGACGATGAAGAAGGACCTTGTGGGATGCGATGCAACGGGTCGAGGTGCAGTGGCCCCATGGCCACCTGTGAAAATTACACTGAGGTTTGTCGAAATGCAACACCAGGCTGGGAGGAGCGCTGTTCAGCTGACACTGAAGACTCTGGTACCGCGGAGGACGTTGCGATTGCCGGCCACGGAGCACGGCACGGCAGTGCCGAGAGCTTAGAGCTTGTGTGGTCTGAATGCAACGGCGAAAATGGTTTCGCTTGCCAGACTCCAGACCATGGGCTGGACGGGAGCGACGGTGTGGCGAGTAGCCCCCGTTGCGGACTTGAGCAGCGGGGAGGACCTGACGTAGACCCGGCCAGCGGCGAGGAGTCGGACCATTACGTGACGCAACTGAGGGACGCGTTTGATGCCTGCGATAGAGGCGGCAGCGGGCGGCTGGACCACGCCGCACTGAAGGAGTTGGCCACGTGGCTTCAGCTGGACGCGGACCTGCACCTTCCGCTCCTTCTGCAAAAGCTGCTGGGAGATGAGCCCAGCGCCACAGTGAGTGCAGCATCGGGAAGCGCGATATATGGGGACAGAACTTTGTTCTTTTGTTATCACAGTTGCTAAGTAGAGGGCAGCGACAGAGAGAGCTATAGTTGAGACGATTCTCAAATTGGGTCAGGTTTTATGAGGCAGAAGAATGTAGTTCCAAGGTCAAGCTGTGCAAGGAGATGGGGGGGGATCATTATTCAGTCTTGTCTTGAGGCTGCTACATTCCTTTTGGATTCGATGAATCTGCCAAGCGTGTAGGCCGCATCCTAGAAAATGGAGGTTGAATCACGGCGTCCAGTTTCTGAGAGCAATGGCCATGGTAGTAGCGGTAGAAAAGAGATGAGGTGAACGATTATATTATCCATTCACACCTTCATGTGCCCGTTTAAACAATACATATTCAGGGGTTGCTGAAGAACTCTATAGGCTAAAGCCTATGTCAGAGCTCTGAGCTGACACTATTAAAATCCGGCTTAAAAGTTGAGATATTGCTACACATTACTAAAACATTTTCTCAAGTATAGTGAGTTTGTCGAAGCCCGCTAATGAATGACAGCAAACAAAAACTATTGCAAAACATTGGGCTTTTCTTTATTTTGCATATTCAAGTCTTGAGGACCGGATATTTGGTTGACGGCAAACATTAATAATTTTGTGTTGCCATTTTATTGTTGCATGAGAGATGCCTATGTAAGAGGATCCAAAGTTAAATCTTTGCCTAAGGTGAAATGATGCTCTGTGCGATTTTTTTTTGTCTTATGACACGGCATCAATGCCACAATTGTTGATTTTAAAAAATCGTCAGAAGATTTTAAAGTTATGAAATCTCCAGATGATGTACAAATTTGAGTGCAGGAACTAACGGCTTCCGGTTTTACCAGACCACAGTATTGTGGGCCAGGACACCCTCTTGTTGCATTTTTTAAAGCAAATACGCGTATATTAAAAGCTAAACTATTACACATTCGAGTTAATGTACAACTCTATCAAACTGATTAAAACAATTGCTGGCCAATTACTTTTCGTTGTGATTAACAACAGTTTAATTATGTTTTGCAAATTGTCCTGAAATCATAGTGCTTTGAATTCCATGTACATCACTGATAAGGAATATTAGAATCTGGTGTTGGCTAAGTCTATATCATCAGGAAAAATTGCCAGCCTTGGTTGTGCCGAATATTGATCCCAATACACTCCCCCGCATGATGTTCCCACCTTAATAGACGCTTCCTAACAGCACTTAGCTTAACAGTCTAGTGAGTTATGATAATGCATTGGTTTGTGCGATCAACTATGCTCCTGGGTAGACCTGAGTTCGATTCTTGACCATTATGCGCAGCATTCTTGGTATTTGGTATTTCAACCTGCACCGGAACTCCTCTTGGTCAACTCGGCTATAACATTGTACATGCCACTGTCTGCACATCAGGACGGGGGGGGGGGATGATGCTGGACACACGTGATTCTTGCTACACTACCCACCTTTGTGTGCTTTGCATACCTTAATAAATGCTCGCTAAGAGCACTTGCACAGACAGTCCAAACATTCTACTGGGATTTGTCTATGTTCGCGTGCGCGAGAGAGTGAGAGTAAATCGCATCCTTTTTACATCCCAAAGTGATGCAAGGTTAAAAAAAAGAGTCATTGCATGTCTCTTACGTTCAATAGCCTGGCCAACAATTCGTGAGCAACTGCTAGCCCTTGCGTTCATTCATTTATGAGCAAAGAAAGGGCACGACAGGTCACACGGCATGAAAGAGGGGGGGCGGAAGGGTGCAGTAAGCCATGAACACAGGGCTGCATGGTGCAGCTGTCCCTAACGTCGTGGAGACAATGTCTACAATGTATGCGGTGGAATATACAGATGCATACAGCGGAGTGCAATAGAACGCAGAGAGCAGACAGCGAGCCTTGGTGCAGACATAGATGCGCCACAAATGTGGCATGGATATTGTCCAGCGTTGGGTGCACAGAGAGGGTGGAGTGTTTCAGTACAGTGTGTTTCGTTAATCATTTATTATTAAGGGAGTCAATGTGTGGACATTGGTTCACGAGCTCTTGATGATGCTCTTTGTTGCTGGTTGTGAGCAAGCAGTGGCAATTACACATTCCTTTGGCAGAGCACAGTCCATCCACATTACAGCCACACATGCCTTTCCATAAAATGGTGTTTAGCGTAAGCTCTCATTTTTAAAGGCCCTTTAGGAATGATGGGCTCACTTGGTTCCAACTGAGATTTGAACTCAGGCCCCTGTGATTATGAACCCCATTGCTCAACCAAATGAGATAAAAAGCTTAATATAAATTTGTTTACTCATTAATCGGCATTCAAATTTTGATAATTGGGAACAAAATAATGTAAAATGAAGAGGCCAACCAACTTATGCTAGCCGGGTGTAGAAAAATGTTTCTTTACCATTGACCACATATATACTATCAATCTGAGTTTGGAAAAGACTAATGAGTGAAATATGCGAACCGTTATAGACAATGAAAATGCATTTTTACACGGTGGGAAATGATGCAGTCACCAATGCGCTCACAAACCAAATTCGTAATCAAATAAATAAGCGTGTGTGAATTTGAAACAATATATGTTTACAGGCATAGCTGAATGCGTGTTTTAATCAATACATATATATGCTCATAATGAACACATTCCTTGGATAGAAATACTGCATTATAGTTTATTGCACGGCTCACTTATTCAAGCAAGAAAAATCACTCGGTGCAGACAACAACAGTTGGTGTGCGTGATACTCCTAGCAGCAGAGATTACGGGATAGCAGATGGTCTAACAAACAGCCTGAAAGAAGGGGGTGTGGGGAGAGATAAAGGGATGTGGCGGGGTGTAAGCCTGCGATGAATCGCAGGCTTCAAGTGCAATTTAATCGGTGACCTCCTTTGGGTGGTTACATGGCCCAGTGGTCAGCACGCTCGCCTATGGAAGCCGTTTTTCCATGGAGTTGATGGTTTAATTCCAGCAATGGTTGGCTGTGGCTGGGAATCGAACTCATGTCTCTCGGTTTCATAGTGTAGCAAGCTGCGTCACCTGTCTGCTGCCGTGAAATGGTCGTTAAATACCTTGCGTTATACTGTGCGGTACTGACATTTGCCGCAATGTGATTGTGAATTGGTTCCATTTCTCACACCTGTTAAAACTACTGGGCATCTGTGAAAACTTCTGAACACCTGTGAACAAAGAGCTTTACAGCTCATTCGATTCCTCCAGTGTAAATAAATATTCAGATTCTGAAACGGTTGGATGTGATGTCACATGCGTTTAATCAGTGGGGTTGATGGTTCATGCATTGAAATCCAACAATTAATTATTACAAGGAATTAGCCAAAATCTCAATGGAAGACCCTCGTGATTTATTTTACTTTCTACCCACGTGACTTTACCGAAAGAACCAAAGAGTGTGGATTCCTGCAGTCACGAAAGCTTTAAATCGAGATTGAAGAGACCCTCTTAATAAAAATTCTAACAATGTGCTAAGACTTTCCAGGAAAAAAAATATATAATTGTTATTTTTAAATAACGAAATAAATCCCTGAGTAGTCTGAGGTCTAAAGTGGACTGAGGTCGATGAAGTGGACTGAGGTCTGTGTGCTGTTCTGGCACTGCTGACTCACATCCTGGGTTTGAATCCGAGCAGCTACCTGTAATTACACCGGTTTTTAGTTTGTTGTCTTTCCCCCTCACCTCCGATTAGCACGATTGTCTACGTATAGTGCAAAAGAAGTTCAACGTGCATACATGCGTTGGGAGGGGATGGTCCCATCAATGGCAAAACACATGAAATTAAAATTGGTTTTGGACCTAAGTTGGTTGAATTTCTGCTCTGAGAATGAAACATTGGTTTGAATGTAATGTGTGATGAACATTACTCTCTGTAACAAGCTGGGTAAGAAACGCTGTCCCCTTGTGTGGTTAAGAGGTCAATTGAAAAAAAAAAGGATATCAGAAATAGTTCTGTGATGTCTGTTTCCACGGAGCATTCTCGAACATCGGAGGTTTTACTGCTGTGCGAAAAAATCGTATTCTACATGTCCATGACATTACGCCGATAACATTCTCGGGGTAGAGTCGCGGAAACATACATCAAAATCTCCGTGATTAAATGTTAATAAATGAACTTACAAAGTGTGGTCGTGGATAGACAGGTTTCCTCAATGCAGAAGAGTTCATGAACAGCAGCGGGGTTCTCTCATGTGGATAATTTAAAGGTCAAATAAAAAAACACAATTACATGGAGCTCTCTTGGGACCTGTCTCAACGGCACTTAATGTGCCCATGGCCCCAGGAAAATGTCTGGCTGTTTAGCCTTTCGTAACCACACACAGGCTCAGGCTATTGCCTGGTTACACACATAAATGAAATCCTCACAAAGAGCAAGCTCTTCCTTCCTTTTATAGAGAGCCCTGTGGCAAGGACTCATGTCCCAGCGTCAGAGCGTGGTCGACACGTGCCTTGTTTGGCATCCCCGTGTTCACCCCCTTTCGTTTAGCCCAGCCCCGTTCAGCGACGTTTTGTCGTCATGGCAAAGCCAGACAACGCGTAAACATCAGCCAAGAGCACATTTGCTCAACGGGTTGCTACTTCATTGAAACATTTGTTGTTTTTTGTGCGTTTGGCTCTTGTGCGTGTGTGCACCATGGTGCAAGCTCCGTGGGCTAGGTGTGCGTCTTACCTTGTTCTCACTCGAGTTAATTGCGGCCGGAATGCAGCGTCGTTACATCACGTCTCCCTGCTCAAACATGGGCGGAGTAGTCGTCTCACCTTAAGTGACAGTACAGCGGTTGAAATTTCACATTTCCTATGGCAGGGGTCAGTGTTGTCGTAGAAAAGCCACTTGATTTCACACAGAGTGGAACTCGACAGTGTATCATCCGCTGGAAAGTTGGACAGTAATAACTACATCAAACACAAAAGTGCCATTTGCGCTCACACTGGTATTCTAGAAGACCAATGGGTACAGTGTGTTCGTACTTAAGAAACCAA